GCAGTAGTATCCCTTGTATTCAGTTCTTGAATAAATCTCTTTCAGACAGGAAAATCGCTCTCCACATGGATGCTCCTTCAATATGGCGAAGAATTTGAAATCTGTGTATTTCACAGCCTAGAATTTCAAAATAATTTTAAACAAAATGTCTACGTAACTCAATAGGGAAGATTTTAGGGCTTTATTTGGGCTAGTCTTTACAGAGTCTATTTGCATCACAACAATGCAGACAGCTGCCAAAAGTTTTGAATTTCTCCAACGAAAAACAAAAGCAATTCTACCATACCCGCCATATTTCTTAAATTTGGACTCTCAAGAACTTATTTTTGTTTCTGTTTGCGTAAAAGGACCTGATTTAAAAATTGTCTCTTTTTTTTTTTACCCTGAATGAAGAATCCCTGTTTCTCTCAAATTTTCACATATTACGCTCACATAAAAGTAATGCTTTCATTACCTTATAAATAGCTTCACTGTATAACAATGTGCATAACATAATCTAATAAAGACTTCAAAAGCACAAAATGTTTCACTTCTAACTATATCTATTTGCATTTCAATGGTTTGGATAGTTCAACTACACGAACCTCTTTCTCAGTTACCTAAGTGCGAATGAATCAGATAAGATAAGAATAGCCATTCTTATCTTAAGTAGAGAGGACTAAGCTACTGGCGCCATCTATTGATGAAACAAGAAAATTAAAACAATTTCCTTCAAGGCTGATGATGGAGAGCTATATCCTCTGATGCTGAAAGCAGTTTGTTGTTTCTTGAAGTCCAAGGAAAAACTGTATTTCCTTAAAAAGTCCAATTCGAGTGTGCAAGGATCTGTAATATCTGCTATATATGCCATGTGAGAGTAGGGGGCATTTCGAAACGTGTTCACATTTAATTTCCCATCTATGTCAATTTTATCACCAGATGCAGCCTGGAGAGTAACACAGGATGGCGTCCAAATGAGTTTATCTTTAAATTGTTGGGCTAAATCTTTCCGAATGATGGTAACATTAACTCCTGTGTCAATGATCATATTGCAAGGAACTCCATTAATATGCCCATTGACGGATAGTCCATTACTGTTGCCACTCAATGCAGAAATTATGGGCACTTTAAAATGTGGTTTTTCATTATCGTTCAAACTCCACTCCGCGATATGGTTGTTTAATTTGTTTCCTGCGTCGTTGCTGTGAAATGGTCTTATTTTTTGTGCCCTGGGGTGTTCTTAGTTCTTTCGTACATGGCCATCAGCTCTGCAGGTCTAGCATTTTGGTTCCTTGTCACTCCTTTTCCATCTCATGGCATTTAATTATCTGTTTATATTGTCTGTCTTATTTTCCGTGCTCTGGGGCGTTCTGCAGTTCCTTTGTACATGGCCTTCAGCACCCCGGTTACAGCACTTTAGGATCAGTTTCTTGTCACTAATATTTCATCTCAAGGCATTGAGTTGTCTGGTTAGATAGTCTGCCTTATTTTTCCTTCCCAGGGGTGCTCTGCATTTCTTTCGTATGTGGCATTCAACACACATTTCCAATACTTTAGAGTCAGTTTCTTCTAACTCCTACTCTGTATCAAAGCATTGACTTATATGGATAAATCATCTAAATGCGACATCAACTGATCCACTGGCTCATGGACTCGCTGGGCTGCCTCGAATTTCATGGCGTACACCTGAGCACTTTTTAAATCCTTCACATCCGCCATTCTCAGGAGCTTTCTGTATCCGGGATCCCAGATGCCATCGACAAAGCACTGCAGAGACTGAATTTTCCTCATTTCTCTTGGACACTCCATAAAGGTGAGGTGAGACAGCCTCTCAACATTCATGGCAAGTTCCTGGAGGTTTCGGAGGGCTTCTGTTGATGGAATTTTACTTGAAGCCTGCTGTAATCTTTCACACATTTCTCCCCGAAGTGCAGTTCCAATGCGCCGGACAGAGCTTCGAAATCCAGCCTTTGGTTTTCGGGAAGAGTCTGAAGGATATCTGCTGCAACTGCTCTCATAGAAGCGGCAAGCTCGGAAATCCCACCACTCACATCTGCCACTATAGAATATTGTGCCTTGCATACTTGTCAGGAGGTCTTCCCATCATAACGTGGATAGCTTCGATAAGGCACGAGTACAAATTTAAAACCATCCGAACTGCTCCCTGCCATTGCTACGAATTTTTTCAGAAACCTTGCCATCAATTTGATGTTCCGCAGCAGAAATGCTCTTTTCTATTTGTCTTTTCACAGAAGAAACTCTGTAATCAATTTGTTGTTCCACAGCAGAAGTTCTCTCTTCTATTTGTTCCTTGACATAAGAAACTTTCTCTTCAGTTTGTCCAACATTATTTCCAACCATGTCTATTCTGTTTTCCATAGACTCAAATTTGTTTTGTATTACGCAGGTAATTTTTCTTTTCAATTCTTCTTGACTTTCTTCTATCTTTTCTTGACGAGCTTCCATCTTTTTTTTAACGGATTCCTGTCCCACTTTAATCTCTTCTTTAATGGATGCTTGGCCAGCTTCCATCTTTTCTTGGAATGCAGCAAACACAGTGATGAGCTGTCTCAATTGTTCTTTCATCACTCTTGTGATTGGAATTCAAATCCTACTTCTGACACCAAAAAGCGCTGCGTGCGTACGGGTTCATACAGATTGAATGCACAAGTCCGATAAAAAGTTATTCTTATCACAAGAATATAATAAAATGCTGGATTTTTCCTCAAAGATATTTGTACAATATAACATGATATCAGGCAGTAGTTAGATTTTAAACTACTAAAACTTTAAATAGAATGCAATCCAAGGTGTAGAGAAAGCTAATCCAATCTCAGAATTACAGCAGCTAAGTAAACAACAACAACAACTGAGCTGAGGTATTCTCTCTCAGACTTTTATAGCTTTTTAAATTGGGTGCACGAGAGAGTTTGAGCAATTTCTGGAAAGCAAAAAGTGTAGAATTACAGTTACAGTTAACATTGTAGTCAATTACATTTATTTAAATTAAATATTAATTATGGAGATAAACATTTATTAAATGTTAAATGCACATGCTCTAGCAGTTTTAATTTTCCTGCATAGCTTTCTCTTAAAATTCGTCATGCGCTGCATTGCACGGAGGAATGCAACAATTTTTATTACAATTCTACTAAAAAAAGATAGCTAACTAAATACAAAATCCATAAAAATATACTGTTCCTATATCTGTAATATCTTAATATATCTATATAAGTAATAACAACATGACGAATGTATAGTGTCAAACACAATAAATAATAATTATATTAAATTGTCAGGTTTTAATTTCTTTAATAATAGAAAACCTCCTTTCTATACATGCCTGTCCATTAGATTGGAAACATTTTTGATATTTTGCATGCTTGTGTATAGTGAAAAGTAGAGAAAATAAGGGGAAGATAAACATATTAAGAAAAAAAAATTTCTAATATCAGAAGTAAAAATATTCAAATAAGTATTATGTTTTCATATTCTTCCAAATATTCTCCAAAAAGAAAGAAATTCATCACAAACAGTCTGGAAAATACATCCATTATGTGCTAATACCATGAAGACATTTTTCATTTTGTCACATTTTTTCTGAATCTTCTAATGGGTCTATAAACCTTGCCTTCAAATCCTAAAGAAAATTACCCCTACAAATTCTGCAACAGCAAACAGACAGAAATATTTTGGGAAAAAGAAATCAGAGGAAGGAAAAGTGTAAAATTCACTTTATAGGGAAAACTGATGCGTATATGAGAAAAACTCTTATCATGAAAAAATTAAATTTAAGACAATTTTAATTAATTACATGAAAATAATTGGTTCATAAATGGGCTTATGCATTTATTACTTATTTTAGTATTCCAAAATATCATATATAATTCACCAAAATAGAAAGTAATGTCACCTTTAGAATATGAATATAATGGAAAATAATTATTATTCTTAACAATATCTCATAATTACCATTACTGAATAAAATTTATCAATGTTTAAAAAAAAATGACCAACAATTTTCAGATATCTGAATTAAAATTTTTTTATAGAGACTGATCTTATTGATAACTTGCTATTGATAACTTGCAAAGTTAGAACTGTTTAATAAACGAATTACCCTTTCTAAAAGCAAAAATTTGTTTAAGAAAGAAAGAATTCATTAGAAAAAATGAATTAATTTCGAAATGCTTATATGTTTCACTTCTTGCCCCAAAACTCAAATATCCCACAATTTGGTTATATTAGAAACAGGAACAAACTATAACTCATTCAAAACATAAAATATTAATCAGTGAATCACCAAAATATTCCTCCAAAAGCTATACATATATTTATACCATATTCAAATTATATATATTAATATCTAATATAAATACATATGTTTATACCATATTCAAAACGGCAGTCGTAAAAAACAGACAAAAATTTCATATGATTAAAATTAAGGACCTTCTGGCGATATGGGCTGAAATTAAGAACTTTTAATGACCAAAAATCAATTAAAAAAAAACCTAAGGACTCGGTTTAACGGTACAAATCCTGCATTAATTTTTTTTAAAACTCTCTATTAACGAATTTGCATAAAATTTATGTGAAAAGACACATACTTGCTTAAAATTCAGAACTGCTTAATGAATAGTGGCAACAAGTCTACAAATACTCATGGACAGTTGTAGCATTGTCTCAAAAGAGGTGAACAAAGTGCTGAATCAGTGGACACAATCATGACATATCAGACTTGAATCTCATAACAGTCATGACTCGCTGAACTGGAGTCTTAGTCTTCCGAACAAATATCACATACCAAACCCAAATTTTCTTGTCCAAACAACACATACCTGTACCTCTGATTTTCGAAATACGCAAAGAAAGAACAATAATGAAAACTTATTGGTTTTAGATGATAAATTTTGTTAAGAAGGTTTGAAAGTATATTCTCATCCAGATTCAATCAATGTATTACTAGTGAGAGATACAAAAATATATTTTGCCTAATTTTATGAAGAATAAGCAATGAATCCACAATTTGATGATTTTTTTTATTTCCACATTTTTTACACAATATTCAGCAACAGATCTTAAAATTGCTCTCTTTTCACAACTTAATCAACCGTGCACTACAATTTATAACTGCAAAAATAAACATTGGATCTTAGTAATAAAATTCTCAGGTACAAATATATAGTTTCTGTGATAAAATCATTTTATGTACACAGCCACATTGTAACAATATATAATAAATACATATCTTTTCTATTCACTATGCAGTTGTTGAATATGAATGCTAAGAAAAATAAAGCCTTATTTTCAAAAAATGAATCAACAGGAACTTCTCAATCACAGACGTGTATATTCTGCTTGTTTTGCTTAAATTTTCTTCTTATATAAGGCACTATTAAAATAAAGATTGTAAAGTGTTTAAATTCAAGAAATTAATTATCAAGAAATTTTCCATCTGCGCATATTCACTAATCTGAACTAATTTTCACACAAAATTCCATGCACATGTCATCAAATTTCAATGTAACTATACATCTTTTCTTAACCACAAACTAACAAATGACTTTACAGGTAGCTATTAACATATATAAATACATATTTACAACTTTACAAGTAAGCTGCTTCTCGGTCCAAATAAAGTTATAAAAGTAGCTTTGTTAATTTAGAATCATAACGTTGTGTTATCACAGTTGTAAAAAGCTATGTAACATCAATAAAATAGCTCTCTTATGAACATATTATTCCCTTTTTTTCTACAGTTTTCTCTTAAGGATACTTATTCGTTCTTTTAAAGTAATTAAATATTATAGTATTTTTTGCAATTTTTAACATGAAGTTTGAATTGTTAAAATTCCACATAAATATATAACAAAAATTTATCATTTTACACATACTATTACAGTATAGTTTAACTACTCTGAAATACTAGTAAGAACTGAAACCTAAAATTCATTTAATTTTTATGAAAAAAAAATAAAATTTCTAAGCTTTTCTCATCTTGAAGAATGGTCTCCCTTTAGTTTAAATACGAAGCAGCTAGAAGTTTTTCTTTCTTCATCCACAAGCTCTCCTAATTTAAGTATGTTCAGTGTTATTGATGCAGATATTTATATATTTTGCATGTATTCTTCATACTTGGCTACATTTCACGCCAGCTGAAAAAAAAAATGTAAAGCAAATATAAGACAATGAAAACACACATAAATCCATATAAACAGAAAAGCTATTACAATAGTCATAAAAATTAAAGGACTACGACAGAAATAAAACGATCGAGTTTCTTCTCTCTCGTATATTCGAATGAAATTCAAGACTTCCCCGAAGTCAAGCTTAAAGACTTGCTTACTAAAATTTTACCACATATGCTCGAAGAGGCAGAGCACTGTCATCTCTATCTCTTTGCAAAATAGAACATTATTTTTGGCCAACCCATGTGATTACATTAATGTCTTGTGGCCACACATTTAGATCTCTCTTCATTTCTGACATTGTTTGCGCTAAGGGATGCTCATGAAGGACTTTCTAAGGAAAACTGGTATGTACAACACACATGGAAATATGCTTTTCGCTAGCTCATTCACCAAGATTTAAAATCTCAGTGTTCAGCACTGATGGGCTGTTAACTGCCCACTAGATGGCTGTTCACTAAACTAGCAGGTACTAGTCAGTCGGTTATCTGGTGGGTATTGTCGGAATGTTAATTAATCACCACTCATGGGTTATTAACTGGTAGTCAGTGGTAGGCTGTTAACTGAACTAGTGGCCACTGGTAGTCTAAGTGAACTGGTGTACTGCTGCAAGGATATTTTATGATGCAGAGCAAGCGTTACTACTTGATAGACACTTCCATGCAGTTTGACAGATTGGACTATTATTTTAATTATATTACATCCAATAGATAAATATATAAATACTTATATTATTAACATAATTCATAAAATAAATTTCTATCGCACATATATTGCGTACCTGGAATATTTTTTTCGGGTTTTTAAAATGGAAATACTTTTTGCATTTAACTGATCACCAAAATGTCTGTCCGAAAAATTGTCTCATTTAGATTTTGAATTCAATCCTTGTCCTTCCTTGTTTAATTATTTTTAAGTCAAATAGAATAAGTTCTAGCAATGATGTTTGAGTTCTAACTGGAATTTCTCAGTCGTAGATTAATAATTTTGCCTCCTGAATTTAATTATACTGAGTCATTATGAGTTTTTCCAACCTCAGAAGAAATTTTAGAGTGTGATTCAGTATTCTATACGACAAACTTTCACAGTTTTAATTAGATTCAAATATTTACATGAACATGGGAAGAAGTATGAAAAGCTTCTTAACGCCAGGTTCTGAAAATCTCTAACTATTTTATACTTCCTCCTGAATGGATATTCAGAGAAAAACTGAATCCATTCAGTTTTCCTCTGAATGGATATTTCTAACCTGAATGGATATTCATAGAACGAGCTGCCCTACCTTTTAAAATGGATTCTTTGATGTAGTCATTGTTTGCATTTCACGAGCAAAGACAAAACCTTGCAAATTACCCGCAAAGGTGATGCCAAACTTTTCCCTTCTAACAGCTGAACTTTATGTCGGCCTAATACCGACCCATCACGCCAAAGCAAACACAAACCGAGATTCCAGTCCACTGTCCATTCAACTTTTTTGATTCTTTATGGATAGTACTAAAGAGTTCCAAAGATGACAATAAGAACACACAAGTTACAGGAAAGCAAAAATGAAGACATCTTATTAGATATCGTAAAGTTAATATTACACCCACTCTTTTATTTTTTCATAAGGAGTGGTAAAACTTTCCCAAATAAAATAAGAAATGGGAGACCGCATTAAAATTAGATTTTGTTATTTCTCAAAAACATTTTTATAACATGAAACTTCCAAAATATGAATATTTTTGTCATTTAAACACTTCTGTAATCAAAAATATATGTCTACGACTAACGATTGAGGAAAAAAAGGATGGATAGAGACTTTTAAGCTGGTAAGGTAGGTGGGTATGTACAAACACACACACTTATTGTAGATATCGTATATATGGTAAGAAAGGGTAAAAACTGAACTTTCAAAGCCTAAACATAGTGCTGACGCAGCTAATTATCAATATTTAACCCTTGGAAAATGAAAGAGTTTTAAACTATTGTAATTATAAAACTCAGTCTATAAAACTCTGACAAGACTGTCAATTAATCTGGACGAAAAATTGTTTCAAATGTGAAACCAAATTAAATTATTGGTGATTCCATGGAAAATGGTTGATGTTTCAAACAGAATTAGTCCTTCTCAATAAAATCACCAATAATTATATAAATGTGATAGTGTTTCTTCTCTCTCATATACTGAAATGAAATTCAAGCCTTCCACAAAGTCCAGCTTGGACTTGCTTAATAGAATTTTAAAGGAACGTCAATTGGAATACAGTCATTAAGTTATATAAACGGGAAAATACCTTATGCACTGAAGATTTATATGTATACAATAGTCATCAAAATTAAAGGATAGTGACAGAAATAAAATATAACTGACACTTAATGAAAATTATTAATAGAAATTTGTATAAAAGCATTAGTTAACATAAATTACAATGCTTGGCAGTTAATTATTCACAAAATAATGAAATTAAATCCGAATTTATGGAAATTGGAGGAAAAATTAAGCCACTCTTGAGGAAAAAATGTTTCTTTACTATGGTGTATGATCACCTCAGACAGATCTGCATACCTCATATCTTGATTTCATAGACTTAAACAAAGTGTTGATCAAGTCTTGAGGAACTGCATGCCACTCTACTAAAAATACACTTTTCAGCTCCTAGAGGGTTTGGGGAGGAAATTTCCTGTCATCACTTCTTCTGTTGTCTGACACCATATATGCTCAATGAAGCCAAGCAGTTCAGTGTGAAAATTTATCATGATTCCTCCCCAAACCATTAAACCTCGGTTGTAGAAATGGGATATTTCACAGACACGAAAAGGAAGTTGTGTATTCCTTCCTCTCTCCAGATCAAAATATGTTTAAAATCCCTGTTCAGACTATATCTGGACTTGTCAGTAAATAATACTTGGGCCCAATCATCGTGGCTCCACTGAACATGATGACTGCACCAGTTTAAATGGACCCCTCTGGAAGCTGCAGTGATAAAAACAAAACTATTGTTTTTCTCGTATACAATCTGACCTCATTAAGGTTTTGTGCAGCACTAGAACTGCTAATTCGAGTTCTGTGGCAGCCTGAAGGTCTAAAACCAAATCACACATACTCACTTTGTGATTTCTTCGAGCCAACAACAATAGAAAATAGTCTTCTGATGCAGTTGTTGCTCTTGGTCATCCTTGACCAGGCTATCTATCAGCTAATCCAGTGCTTAAAAAGCAACTCAAAAATTCTAAATATGACACTTTGAGGGATATTTAAATCTTGAGGTATTTTGGAATTTTGGAAGCAAGAAAGATGAAAAATATGAAACACCTTCGGCGGGAATCGAGCCACGGGCCTCTGGAATATGTGCCTCGCGTACAGACCACCACACCACGAAGGCGGGAGAAATACTTTATATACTCCCCCTTTTAAAGGGAGACTGGGGTTTTTAGGAGACCCAGTCAGCAAATCCTGGGTGAGAAGAATTATCATCCAACACCCTTTTAGTTTGGACGCCACTGTAGGGATATTAGGTATATTAGGTCATTTTTGGGAAGCAGGCAAGATGAAAAACTAGCAACGCCTTCGCCGGGAATTGAACCGCAGACCTCTGGAATACACGCCCAACGTGCAGACCACCACACCACAAAGGCATGCCAAGAAGGTGGGAGAAATGCCTTATAGAGTGACCTCCATTTGTGTTTGACCTCCCTAGATTCTACTAATTAACTCACCACTTTTTACCTTCATTTAAATGATGCATTTGAGCCATAACTACTGAATAAATACTGATCACTTCCAGAAATACCATTCACTTCAAAGACCAGAATTCCAATATGTGTCCATTATGCATATTGCTGGCACTAATGTAAGCACAAAAGTGCAAATTTGTGTTCAATTGATTGTAATTAACATAAATAATTAGAGCATTGAGCATTGGTTGCAACACTAATTTAGTGAGTATATTTGTTTTTCATTATCCTTTAATTTTCATGACCAGTGTACATCAAAAAATTATAAAGTATCATAATGTTTCAGTTTGAAAATTATATGGCCAGTACAATTTTGAAGCGGTTCTTGGCAATGCTAAAGCTGTGCCTGTATGTCAAAAGAGGGTTCTCTTTTGTGCAGCCTGATTTGTCCATATGTGTTACGGACATCTCATTTCCACTTTACTTTTCGACTATCCCATATTATTTATTTTAGTGCACTTTGTTTTTAGATGGCACTAGCTGACCACAAGAAGAAAGGTTTCCTTTTTACTATTGAGTTCACAGTTAAACACCTGAATTCTTATAGACATATTGTGTTTATTTGCTAAATGTGTTGTTTGGTAATCCTTTATTACAAATTAATAAACTTTCAAAGTATACAATTAAAAGTATATAAAATAGTTTTCATGTTATATCATTGTAATTTGCATAGGTTGATTTTTGTTCGATCCTTGTTTTAAAGTATATCAAAATATTTTGTGCCAGCTTCACTCCTTGTTTTAAAATGGGCTATACCGAGATGAAATACAGCTATAATTTTCAAATATGTAATAAATATCAAATGTAAAACTACATAAAATGTTTACTAATACCTCCAACGCATTAAAACAACCAACATTACAGGAGTAACTGTAACATTTATTTGTCTGTTTTTGACCTATGAATGATTTTTCACATCTAAAAATGCAATTTTCTTTCAGATTACATAATGAAATAGAGACAAATTTTTGCACCGTTTTCAGAAATTTATTAAGGTCTGTCAGCAGCTGCATCAAGCCATTGAATGCAACAGTTACTTGGGAAGGATACCGTGAACAACCGGATCGACAGGTATCGATTTTGGAGTATCACTTCGGGAGGAAATCCCACAGAGGTTAACCTTGGGTGTTTGATTATGAGGCTCCAAAGGTCAACACACGGGAGAACAGAAATTAAACAAGAAGTGAATCTGCCAAACACTTTCAGGCTTATGAGGTAAAAGACTTCAACTGCACTACATAGGGAAGGTGTACAAATACAGTAAGTGGGCATCTTATATATTGTCAGCAGTTAACACGGAACGAGTGTTGACGTCACTGTCTCGGCACTGCAATGTACTCATATACGATCAAGTACTCGTGAGTGACGAAAAGTGGTCCAGTATAACTCTCCCACATATACAAGACATTGTCATTAACAAGTGACCTGTGCCTCTCATAACTCTGTAAACACATAAGATCATGCTCTGTGTCAGTGGACTAGTCCCAAAAGGTGCATTACCAGCTACTACACCATGGTATACCATCACTTAGTAGATATATACCGTATTTGACGGCATATACGCACCCTTATTCAGAAGGCCACACACAAGGAAAAAAAGTTTCAATAGTCCGCGTGATAGCGCGGTACCACAATAACTTAAAACGTGGTTTCTTTTAGTTCTCACGTTTCGTAAAAGCGAAATAAACAATCATTGAATGCAATTACCAAACATATTTTTATTAAGAAAAATTAACAAACGGCAAGCTATTTTTTCGGTAGGTGGTTGACCGAAATGCCTTGCTGCTGCTCTGTTTCCATGCACTTTGGTGTAGTTTAACACTCCTAGTTTATACTGAATTTTATAGCTTAATCTTTTGTTTCCTGTAGTCATATTTTCCAGGGTATTTTTTTTTTAAACAAACAGTTTTAAGGACCAATACTGACACATTTATACAGAGTAGCAACGATACCAACACGTGTGTTGGATGAATCAAAGAAAGTCTATGTAAAGAAGGAAAGGCTCCATAGACGTAATGTGACCGTCGAACCTGTTCAAACTTCGACATCAGCTTCGAGCTTTGGCGCTTTTTGGTGACAGATATTTCACACATGTGCAAAATAATTATGGCAGATGTAGAAAAAGTTATGCGTGTCTAGACCTTTATCCGGGCTAAAAATAGCATTCAGTATTGAAAGTTAATCTGTGTCCTTCACGTATAAGACGCAGGTAATGTTTTTGAGACCAAATTTAGGAAAAAAAAAGTGCGTCTTATATGCCGTCAAATACGGTATATACATATATTTTTTATCCTTACTTACGTGATACAAAATTAAAGTTTGAAAGCTCCGGGCTTATACTAAAGCAATGGTTCTCAACTTCTCCCTTTACACCCTTTTCACAATTGGTAGATCTAGATAATTTTTTAATGGCACAGCAGGAAGAAGGTGGAATCTGACTAACCACATTCCTTCCTGAAAATGCAAAATTCCCCATGTTGTTCTTTAGCACAGCTACTAACAATGAAATATGAAAAACTGGAAGAGTGGGTAGATGTGCTATAATTTATGACCAGAAAGCATCAACCTTTGGCCAATTAAAGTTGATAAACGTTAAATTTCCCCCCCTCTTTTTTTGCTTGATTCAAACAAGAAAACTACAATAATACCTTCATCATTACTATAGCAATTATGGCAGTGAAGTTTGTTGTTTCGAACTCTGACGTCTGTACCACAGGAGCCATTGCCCAGCTGAGCTTGACACACACAGCACTGGAAGCAGTGGATATGGTAATACAGCTGGAGGGATTCAATTATCATGGCAGCTCCACGACCTAATCAAAAAAGAGTTAATAAGCATATTTTAATTTACAGTAGATCCATTTTACCTGTGGGTAAATTAACGAGTATGCGTAGTAGCAATAAATTTCAAACATCAAAGTAGAAATAGACTCAAGTTATGCTTCAAGAATAATCAAACTACATTTGCTATTACTAAGTCTCAGCACTGTTTACTTCAAAGTATTTACCGTTTTAATCTATTTTAAGATTATGAGATTTCAAGGTATAACATTTTCATTATGTTTTAAGGATATTGCTATCACTGTATGTTTATTGCTAAGCAAACACATGCTTTTCAAGTATTCGATTTTCATGAAATATTCTCTTGAACTCAAATTGCAAGCAGACCAAATGTACAATAAATAGGTTGCAACTAATGCAGCTAAATAGGTTGATCTAAATAGGCTGTTTTTTTTAAACCAAATTAAAAACAATTTTTTAATCAGAAAAAAATAACTAAATTTTAAATATTATTTACTAAATATTTATAAAGAATAATAATAATGTACAAAGGGAATAAAAATCCAAATTACATTTATTTTCTATTTGAAATCTAAAGACTAGTATGTGCAAGAAATTTAAAGAATTAATTAAATTTCATAATTCCAACATACTGAGAATTAAATATTAAATTTTCAGATTGATATTTATTTCAAATAATTCTAATGCACAATCATAAATAGCTGACATGAACTTACTTAACTTAAATAGCTGATAGAAATTACTAAAAAGAAACCACTTACTTAAACTAAAAATAAAGAAATTATTAAAACTTTCCACGCGGGACAAAATTGCAGAATAAATATTGGAAACTTACTATAAATCTTCGTTTCATTTATTAAATTTTTCTTTGATGCATACAGAAAAATACACACATTTATATGTAAATAATTATAAACTTCTTTCGATTTCGATAAAGTTTCTAACCTGGATGACTAGAACATATTATTAATCACAAATTGGGTCCTTTCGCAGACTTGTTAATTTTCAACTGTGGGAAAAGAAAACTGTTAACATACGGATGTACAAAGTGAGATTCTCTTACTGCAAAAGTTTGTAACTGATATTATTTATCTTTTACAAATACAGTCAGTCAAATCTGTATCTTCAAAGCTTTGAATAAGATTTATATATTAAAAAAAAAGTAATTTAAACAGCTCTATTTATTTTCTGTGGCATGGTATATTTTCTTAATGGCAATGAAAATAATGCAAACTCGGACTACAAATCATTAAAATGTTAACCTTTTTTAAAATTTTTGTCATAATAATATGGGATAAAGATTTGCTGACTACGTAAAATTTCTTTGGGGGCTGCATGTAGTCGGTTAATACAAGACAACTGAAGTATTCCATTCATCCATTACTTACTAAAACACCTATTTACACAAGTTTTTCCCACTACCACCATTTTATGACTAACTTTTAACTAAATAGATCATCATTTAAATATTAAGACCATTTATTTCAAAATTTTTGTGATTTTCTCCCCTTCATAAGCAAGCATTGATAATATTGGGCAACATTTTGTTCGTTCTGTTGAATTCGATTTTGGGGCTGTTTTAGAGTTAAATAATCATGTTGATTTCAAAATTGCAGTCAGTTTTCTTCCACCATGTCTAGACTAGTTCAGTTACACCTGAGATACTACAGTGAGACGTTGTGTGTCATTCTGATATAGTGAAGTACATTCCAGTGTGGAGTCTTGCCTGTATACAAGATTAGCAGTGTTCAGTTTTTATTTATATATGACCTGAAATCTTTCCTTATGTCTGCCTCCGATAGTTTGCATCATAAGTGCTTAAAAAGTCCTGATTCGTTTTGTTATATATGTGGCAGTTTTACCATTCCCAGTCAAAGGAAAAATATTAGCCCATTTGTCAGGCAAGCTTATTTTAAAATGATAATTAGTAGTCGAGATAAATCATGAGCTCACAAAAAGGAGTATTTTGAGAGTATACAGATGTGGATAAAGGGAACATATTCTAAATTTCCATTTGATATACCTATGATTTCATGACTGCCCACAGATCACTTGAGTGATTTTTACTTTTGCATAATGAAAGCATTGGGATACAACAAGAAAAACAAATGTAAAATATACTATCCTAGTTTACCATCAGCTAGTTCACTTAGCTGAACTCCCAGGGCCAGTCTTCAAAGAATTACCTTCTTTGGAAACACAGGAATACAATTCTGGTGAATATCGAGTTGATCCCTAAGACGAAGATTTTGAAATTGAAGATCATTCCTTTCATATGGGATTTCACCAGCATGAGTTGAATAATTTAGCATACAATTTGGGACTCTCCGAAAAGGTTTCAGAGCTGTTAGCATCAAGACTGCATGAAAAAATTCTTGCTTGAAAAAGGAGACAAGGATATCCTACCTTTGATCAAGAGAAAGTGTGTTTCTGCAATACTTTTAAAGTGATGATAGATTTGCATATTGCCACAACATACATAGTTAAAATAAGATACGGGAATTTCGGCCTATAACGCGACTCAAACTAGTCCTCCTTCACAATGGAAATTTTAGGGCTATCTGCCTAAGAGGAGGGATGCCTTCAAGAGGACCTTTCTAATGGAAACTGGCTCATGTATACATTACATGCAGGGCAAACCACGATAACGGCTGTGCGACCACCCCATTTGAGGGATTCGAACCACTGACCGAGCTATCAGTGCTCGGCGACTTTATCGCTCGAGTGCCCGTAGGCCCTTGCAACTTATTGGAAAGCTTCGACATGTTTGATTGCAACATAAGCATCAAACTGCATTTTTTACACAGCCATATTGATAATATTCAGAGATAAATCTTGGTGTAGTCGGTGATGAGCAGGGTGAGTAATTCCACCATGATTTGAAGGTCATGGAGATATGATACCATGACAGATGGATGTACACTGCGCAAAAAGAAAAGGGTAAAAGTTCTGTATCTCCTGTGCTACTGGGCCGATTGACAAAATTCAAATTGTGTTTTTCATGTCTCGAAAGTGTGACTTAGGATATATATTAGATTTATATATAGCATTGTTCTAACATAGGTATTCTGACGCACAATCAGACTTTTCTGAAATAACATACCAATTTTTTTTTTCATATTTCGATTCTACAATTTAAACTATGCCTAGATATTAAATTTTGTAAAATTTGGTGTGAAATTTACGGGGAAAAAAAAAAAAAAAATTATCTTAACGGAATTTTTCAGTTTGAGACAAGAATAATTCACTTGGCGAACTTCTTAATATGTGGCAACCAATTTTCCTTTCCCTTCCATTATGCCAGAGTGGAAAAAAAAGGCAAATATGTACCTTTCCACATTGTGCATGAGTGGGAAAAAAATCACATTGTTTCTACTTCCAAATAAATTTAACAAAGTGTCTAAACCACATTTGATGTTTTATCACTTTCAATAAATATGCCAAATTTCAAAACATGACAATATATAAATTCACATATATCTTCCGAAATTTTGAATAAAAAAATAATTTTTTTGCAGGTATGCTTAGAAATACATCTACTTTAAGATGATGGTTAAAATTTTATAGATTATAATTCAAAAATTTTTTTTGAAAAATTTTAAAAATAAATCATAAAAAATTTTATTTGGAATGAACCTAAATTTCAAAATGTGAAAGAAAGAATTAAATACGTTTAGCAAAAAAAGAGAGATTAAATCTTTTATATCAAATTCCCTATATTAGAACAATGCTATATATAAATCTTATATTATCCTAAGTCGCGCTTTCGAGACATGAAAAACGCAAGTTGAATTTTGTCAATTGGCCCAGTAGAACAGGAGATATAGAACTGTGCCCCCTTTTTTTCGCAGTGTATATACGATAGCTGACTACTGTTGAAGTACCAAGCTCCACAGATTAAACACTCCCGAAAAAGCCATAAGCAAAAATTTTTACATTAACATGTCGGTGTACCATTTGGTAAAAAAAAAACTTTACTATTTTTATGAACAAAATTCAACTTGTTGTAACTACAGATGGCATTTGCACGAGTAAAATTAATCTTTGTGAACAGTATATTTGGCAAGTTTTTCTTTCATATGTATATTTTGTCAGTCTTTTGAGACAAAGAGAGCAGAATTTACTCAAAGTTAGCCAAAATTTAATCAAAAACCCTGCAGCTTAAAAAGTTGATGTGATAGACAAAAGCTGTAGTTATTTTTGAATTCGGAGGTCAGAAGTTAGTGAAAAACAAGCGACAGATGCAAGACGAACAAAACTGCTGTTCTCTACTGTACTTCTTTATACATATAGCAAATTAATATTCAATTAAAATATATTTTTAATTTGGACTAATTGTCTAATTAATATTTTTAATAAGACTTCCAAATTAGTAAACATGTCTTAGTACAAAATAAAATATTTAGTTTACGACTATAAGAATCTTTGGCGTTTTTTCTCTCGAAGAGTTACAACATAAGTGATAGGTGGAATGTTAAAACACAGGCTGCACAAAAAGAACCTACTGTAATAAACATTTTATTTCTCAAAGTGTACTAGCCATTTACAGATGAAATTATCATTAGTTTAAGACTGAAGTTAATTATTTTTTAAGATCGCATGCTTTAATCTGGAAATTTTTTAAAATATCTTTTGATGTATAAATTGCAAGGTGTTATTCATTTATAAAAATATTCATTTGGAAAAGAACTTTCTATCCAAGGCATTTACAGATACAGGGGCGATTCACACTACAATAAATAAACTACAGCTTAAGGGCCTCAATGTCTTTCTGTACGCATCATCCATAAGCATGCATAAATCAGCAAATGCAAGAGAAAAGTTAAAAACTGATGAGTCTGACTAAATTTTATCTTTGTCTTATCAAACTTGCAAATTTAATTGTGTAACATTTCAGCCTGCCAAATAAAGGATGGAATAATATTTTATATTATTAAAAAAATGTAAGGAAGGAAAAGAAAATCTGAGAAGACTATTGTTATTATTGATTATTATTTATTATTGATTTTAA